CATCTGAACCATGAACTGGCAATGTTTAACTGCATTCAGCCATATGATGAGACGATGAAATAAAATAGCTTGACGCATCCAGACACATAAAAGCCTTACAACTAAAACAACAACTTCCTTTGCAGCATTACCCAAACAAATAATCCCTTTTGTGTTTCTGCAGCAAAATAGAGAAGGCGATTGAAAACTAGGCTAAAACATACAGTACTTTTAGAAGCTTGTAACTGACGCCAAGAGGCAGAAAACAGGAGAAATCAACCAAAATAAGCATACGTTACAATATGAGGCCGGTTTAGTTCAGCAGGTTGTCTGAATGGTGCTGGCTTGCTGCACACAGAGTCCTAATTACAGAACAAGGTGTACAGAGCAAAACTAAATTACTGTAAAAACTAATCTGAGATCCAAAAGAAACCTCAAAAATGGTCAAGTAGTTGTCTAATACTGCTGTTTATGTACACAATAAAATAATACTTACATATTCAACTTAAATACATACATATGAAAAAAAAAAAGGATTGAAATGTTTTAAAAAAAATCCTGACAAGCGCAAGCAGTCATGAGACACTTAAAGCAGAACTACTACGTACACACAGGGTGGGGGTAATGGGCCCAGTTTGATGAACATTATTTGATTAGTATATGTATAGTCTTAGTTATATGTGAAGCCATTACATTTCAAAAAAGTTAAAGGGTGATGATGTAATTGCTATTGCAAGAATTCTGAAAACAAATTCATGTTACCTTTCTGGTCAATTACCAGCAATGTTGTCAAGTGTGTAAGTGCTTGAAGATCCCAGCTATGGACAGTAACCAGCTTGTTAGGATTTCCCAAAGGAGTAAACAATTTAAGGGATAACTAGAATGCTCTATTGTTAGATGTAACAGAATGAATAGTAAACTTCTGAGACCCTGTGTAACTGTTCAACAAAACAGAAAGGTGAATGACAAAGCTAAAATATTCTCCCTGAAGAAATGTCATAACGGTATAAGTACAGTTCCTTCCACTGCCACAAGATTCTGCAGTCAAGCAACATTTCGACGTAGCAGCTTTTAATGACAAGGCTTCAGCGCTTTATTAAATACTGGAGAGCGAAGTGCAATCAGAAGTTCACGGCTGACACAGAGTCACATTTCTGGGAAGAGAGAAGAAGGTATTAATGGTCTGTCTTGCTGCAAAATCATAGAAACACATTGTGGGACTGGCATGCCTGTCACACTGTCAACAGCCAGAAAGCATTTTGTGTGAACTTGATTGTTTTTCAGAAGAATAAATCCTACAAATTCAATAGACATAAGTATACCCCACCAGTTTTAAAGAAACCTGCTGATGTACTTAAAATGCTAATAACCTGGGTCTCATGCTGATTGTCTTCAATGTGTTGAGTCACTGGCACAATACAGTATACAGATCAAGACTCATGCATAAAAATGCAAACCTGCACTTTATCCACATACTTGTTTTGGATTTGTAACCAAAAGAACATAACCCACAAATGAGTTGTGAACATCCAAGGCTCTAGTATGTTCAAAAAGTAGTTCAGCGGTGAAAGCTTGGGCCTCTACAGTTTTATTTTTATAGGTTCACCCCATGGTGTCAGCATACTCAGTGATGCCAAGCCAGGGGAGGATGCATCTGTTCTCTGGACAATTACCTTAACCACTTGCTGTCCTTGCTGCCCCCCTTCATGACCAGGCCATTTTTTTTTTTTGCGTTACAGCGCTGCGTTACTTTAACTGAAAATTGCGCGGTCATGCAACGCTGCACCCAAACAACATTTTCGTCCATTTTTCCCCACTAATTGAGCTTTCTTTCAATGGTATTTGGTCGCCTAACTGGTTTTTATATTTTGCGCTATAAGCAAAAAAAGACCAACAATTTTGGGGAAAAACAAACAATATTTTGGACTTTGCGCTATTCAGTAAAAAAAATTAAAAAAAAAAATTTAAAAAATCAAATTTCATCATAAATGTAGGCCAAAATGTATTCTGTGTATGTCTTTGCTAAAAAAAAAAAAATCCTCCTAATACGTGTAAATTACTTGGTTTACGTGAAAGTTATAGCGTTTACAAATGGCGGTATAAAGAGATTTTTTTTTTCTACTAGTAATGGCGGTGATCAGCAACTTTTAGAGGGACTGCAGCAGACATTCTGATACTGGGGGGGGAGGTGGGGGGGACGACTAACTTAGTGTCACTGACATACCCAGTAACACCAATACAGTGATCAGTGCTAAAAAAAAAAAAAGCTTTGACATTGTACTAATGGCACTGGGCAGGAAGGGGTTAATGTGAGGGGTGATCAAAGGGTTAACTATGTGCTGGGAGTGTTTTTTACTAGGGGGCGGGGGGGGTGCTTCTCTGTAAGCACACTGATCGGGATGGCTGTACTGTGCTCAGCCTTCCCGAGCATTGTGCTCCAGCTGACAGGGAGGAAGATTGTTTGGTTTACAAACAAACAATCTTCCTCCCCGTCGGAGATGCTCGGTAATCATGGGGCGCTGGTGAGTAATTACTGGTCGGAACCCGGTGATTGACATCTGCGGCCACGAATGCCGCCGTGGGTAGGGCTCGCGTGTGTGCCCCCTACCCAGAAATGCAAAATCTTTAAAAAAAAAAAAAAAAAGCAGTATATTTGCTATAGGGCAGTCCTGAAGCGGTTAAACATTGTAGTTTCTTTTTATAATATATTGGTATGTATAGTGCCTTGAAAAGTATTCATACCCCTTAAAATTTCCACATTTTGTCACGTGACAACCAAAAACTTAAATGTATTTTATTGGGATTTTATGTGATAGACCAACATAAAGTGGCACATAATTGTGAAGTGGAAGGAAAATGATAAATGGTTTTTCAAGGCACTGTAGCTAATGCATATGGCATTATTTTTTTAAATTATGTGCTTAATGTGTCATATATCTTCAGTTATATTAAATTCCACATTAACATGTCATCCAAGCTCTCCACAAAAAAATTATGGTTACAGATTTAAAAACAATCTACAGCAGGGATGTCCAACCTGCGGCCCAGGACAGCCATGAATGTGTCCCAACACAAAATCATAAGCTTACTTAAAAAGAATGTTTTGGTGAGTTTTTTTTTTGTAAAAATATGTTTAACTTAGCAAACACAGGTGGCGGAAAAAAAAAAAATTGAGTGTCTCTTTAACCCTAGTTCACATCAGTGAGACTTTTCATGCAACTTGAGAGTTCAAAGTCACATGACATGTCACCCTGCATTAGCAGCAGTAGAACCGTTCAAATCGTTGATACTCAAGTTGCAGCAACTTTGTAATAAGGTTCCTGCACTATTGTTGTGCAACTTCATTGAGACTTGCATTGACAAATGTTAAATGAAGTCGCACAGACTGTGAGCAAGCCACAATGAAAATTCAGCTCTGAAGGGCTTACTGGACTTTTATAAGTTTTATCATCCCAAAGACAAACATCCCACTCGTCACAATCACGCCTTAATCATGTCATCAGTTTTTGGCAGCACCTATATTTGTGAGCAACTATTTTTAAGGATGAGGCATACAAAGGGCAAAATTAGAACCAAAATATCTGACGAATACCTTCAGGATTCATTGAGAATCAGGGTGGATAAAAATCAATGATTTTTAAAAAAAAAAAAAAAAAAAAAAAAAATAATAATAATCGGATTTTTTTTATTTAAATCGGATTTTTTTTAAATAAAATGCTTTTTGTCGAAAATATATTACCATCCAAAGGTTATTCCATCATGAAATAAAGATTAGTTTTTTTTAATTATGTAGAATAAGGCTGTATATGTTTCAATTTTTTGGTAAATAAATTCCATTAATCCATTCACAATGTCATGCTCTTCCAGAGGTTTTTGTAAGATTATTGGGCAGTCTCTCTGCCTACAAGATATTATCACAGATGTTTGGTTTACTTTTGTAGTTCTCAAAACTGAATTTGACTCAGCGGAGATCACATGCCTCTTCTTCACAGCAAAAATGTTATAACATGAACAGAGTTAAGAAAAAGACCTTAATCCTAACTTCTACAAACCTATGAATACAGAATCAACCCCTTCAGTGCTAAGTTTCAAGAAGTTCAGTGAATAGAATAGAAACAATATTTTTCTGATTGTTTGGAGTGGAATAGATCTGCACAAGAAGAAAGTGAAACTAAGTGTGAGGAGGAAGGGGCTGACAGTCTGTTTCTTAAAATATATAATTTTTGTTTAGCCAAATTAGTTAACAAACATGGATGTTTGTTTAAGCAAATAACATATGCTGGAATGTTATTGTTTCAGTTGAATAAATCTATTTAAATTGTTATTATTAAGGTAATGATTATTTTTCTCCTTCCTAAGTACAACAGAAAAGTTGTCCAAATATGAATGATTAACCTATTAAACTGGGGATAAAAAAACTAATATGAAAAGTTGTTATTCTAAAAATCTTCATCTACATATTAAAGTTATACCAGCAAGAATTAATCTTTATGTAGAAAACTAGGATTTAAGTCAAGCCTTACTGACTAGTGATTTAAATCAGTTTGATTTAAATCAAATCCACCCTGCTGAGAATTGCTACTACAGCCATCAAACCAGATATTGATGCATTAGTTTATCAAAAACAGTGTCAGACATTGTGCTAGTTTTATGTTGCCCTTTACTTTTATAATAAAAAATATTATTAGAAAAAGGAAGTTGCATTACTCAGATAGATACATTAATTATATAAGTGATCGTTAACTTGTGATCTGCCCGATTTTTTCTGTTCATCAGCTATCCTAATTGTTGCTGTACTTTATGTGTGGCCCAAGGTAATTCCTCTTCTTCCAATGTATGTGGCCCAGGAAAGGCTGGACACCCCTGATCTACAGTATACAGCTTCCAGGAAGGCTCCCACTGAACAACTAGTATGGGCATGGATTTAAATCTTTCTTTGTGGAGGGCATACACTATCTTCATAGATTTACATGATGGGAAGATAGTACTTGAGGACTGGAAATAAATACTTTCATAGCATGCATACCTGCCACAGTCTCAATAGCCATGGACAAAGAACTCATGCGTCCGTCTTCAAAAGCCAACTTTGGAGGAATTGTAGCAGATTCTATGAGGTCCTGATTGCAGCCGTCTGTAGTGCTTGGCTCAGACAAGCTACTAGTCTTGGAATGGATTTCCAGGTCAATTATTTCTTCAAATGTCCATGAACAAGGCTTCCCATTTATACTGGTTACATGTTCTTCTCTTTGGTCATCCTCATTGGGAAATGGCTGATTTAGGCTCAGATTAACATCATTTGTCACCTGACTAAATACAAATGATTGAATATGTGTTAGAATTACGAAACATTTGTCAGGAATTGAAAAAACGTGCACTGGGCGATTATTACAAATCTTTAAAAAACACACAACCACAACATTGGTAACTGAAGCCTAAAATTAAAAGCAAACCGTTTTGGGGAGAGAGAGAGAGAGAGAGAGAGAGAGAGAGAGAGAGAGAGAGAGAGAGAGAGAGATAATGAATATACATACATACATATATATATACACACACACAGTTAAGGAAATAAGCATTTGATCCCCTGTGGACAGTCTGCAGATAAACTGGCGGTAATTAAGACCAACTCTTGGCATACAGAGAGAAGCCAGCGCTCAGAGTGGGGCATTTTGTGCTGGAACGCTGCAATGAATATGACAGCTTCCCACACAGGGCTTCCTATTTGCAAGAGAAGGTGGCTGAGTTTCCACATACAGTGGGACCATGAAGAACACAACCAATCTCTCCAAAAAAAAAAAAAAAAAAAAAAAAAAGGAATTTGGAGGATGCGGAGAACAAGAAGGTACTTTGAGTTAACAATACATACTTGAATAGAATTTTTCTTTTTATACTAAAAGTTTAAAACCAGCTATTGCTGTGATATTACGCTTTAATCCAGAGATATCCCTTGCAGTACATTTTTCTGCCACCAACTGCGCTCAGTCTAATGGCCAGCACCATTCAACCCACTTCCTCTGAGCTCAGGTCATCCTGGACCCACCCCATCCTGTTAATCTGACAGCAATACAAGTACCACCAGAGTAAGGAACTACATTTCTCAGTCATTCCGATTTATCTTCCTATCAGCATGCTTCTTGTCAGCACATGAACTTATTTGGCCCATGTTCTCAGAAGTTGGGAGACTTTTTGAGAAATGTGGCAGTTGACAAGGCAGCAACTTTAGGACTTCGTACACCTGACATGTAAGATTACCTTTCAGGATGAGACAAAATTATAGCTAAGTTGGGGAGGACAGGTATACATATGGTAAAGGAGAAGTATGACCAAAGACCTTTTGGACATGCGTTGCCTGTGGGTCACAGGACTGCACCTATTTCTGCTCAGATCCAGTCAACAATGCACTTTAGTCTGCTGTTGGCCAACGTCACAAAGCTGGTCCAGGTTCTGCGGGAATTACAACAATAATGTCGGGATCTGCCTAGATGCCTAATTGGCAGCTGGCTCAGCCACTTAGCACACCCCTGACAGCCTGAGTCAGCCACTCCTGCCCCCTGCACAGCATGGTACTCCAGTGAGAGCTGGAGGAGCAGAGCAGAGAGTCCGTGGCTCACAGTCACTGCTCTCTACTCACTGAAGACGGAGAACGGAATGATCAGCAGTCATGTGATTGCTTCAGTTCTCTGTCTTAGAGCCAGATAGACAGCTTCAGAATTAGATCGAAGCTGCAGCCACATAGGGGAGAATTTTTTTTTTTTTTCTTTAATCCTGTTCTCTTTTAAATAAACCTGCCTGCTATGTTGTCATTTAAGACTGAGGTTGCACAAGTAGAACACATTCATAAAATCTTTAGGCAGTAAATCATAACTCAAATACTATATGCTGAAAACACCATTAACCCCACATAAAATGAACCTGACCTAAAAAGTGTCTAAGTAACAATACTGCAGGCACCTACTGAGCAGAGATTTTGGCACTTGCCAGCTGAGTGACATGTAAAGTTAAAAGTTGTCGCCCTGTATACAGAGTAGGCATGAAATTCTAAGAAGCTCTACAGAACACAGAAAATTGTTCCATAGACTAGCCAGTTCTTGCAGGCATTACAACATTTTAGCAGTACTGTCAGCTTAGACACACTTTAGCCTATGACAGGTTCACTTTAATGAGCATTAATAAAAATACACTTACCTGAATACAGTGGTCGTCGTATCTGAAAAGTGCCCATTAAGCTTCTGATCAATGTGTGGATTATCACCGTTAACAAATAATTCATTCCTTCCCTCCACTGCTGCATCCTGAGACAAAAAATCTGGGGAGGAGGGAGTTGGTGTAACGCTCATTTCCTGGGAACCATCTGCATCATCGCATGAATCAGTGTCATTAACGCTACCTGAAATACAGAAAAAGGATCATGCTCACGCTGTCAAATATAAAAGTGTCATTATATGGGCAGAACAATTATTTACCAGGTGTGTTTTTATCCAGGCTGAAATTTTCTTCATCCTCCTCTTCATTCTTCAGAAAACAAACAAACAATCATGTTAAGAACACCAAGATAAATTACTGCTCTTGTCCTTAACAACTTAATAGATAGCTAGAATTTTTCTAGAGTGCTAAAAAAAAAAACTTTTTTAGGCTGGAGCTGGGTTTTATTTTTAATTGCGGACAAAGTATGGCAAGGAATCTAACAATCTATGTTCCCATTTTACAAAGTAACTTTTTACTTTCTCGCCTAGTGACAGGAAGCAAGGAAAAGTCTTCAGCAAGAAAAGAGCACCAAAAACACATTTTAACCAGAGTGGACAAGAGTTATGACACATCACATTTTTATTGCTGGATGAAAATTCTTGTCCAGATGACAAAAATATCTATGGACAACAGGCAAGCCTGACATTTTAAACTTTCCCCAATCCTAACCTAAAAATAAACTTTTTCCTGGATTTGGGCATTAATAGGACCTACAGTTGTGTTCAAAGTAATAGCAGTCCAACATCACTAACCTGGTCAATCACGGTTTTTGGCATAAATGATATTTCTACATGGCAAATAATTTACTAGCAGGTGTAGTAGAATAATAGAAAACCAACAGACCCAACAGTCATGACATGCATGCTGCTGATTCTGTGTAATTGAATCATTAATTGAAAGGGGCATGTTCAAAATAATAGCAGTGTAGAGTTCTATTAGTGAGGTCATTCAGTCTGTGAAAAAACAAGTGACAAACAGGTGGCCCTTATTTAGGGATGAAGGCAGCAAATGTTGTACATGCTGGGTATAGTGCATTTCTCTCTGAAAATCTGAGTAAAATGGGTTGTTCCAGACCTTCCTCAGAAAAACAACGTACTTTGATTAAAAGGTTGATTGGAGAGGGGAAAATATATAAAACGGTGCAGAAACCGATAGGCTGCTCAGTTAAAATGATTTCAAATGCTTTAAAATGGCAACCAAAACCAGAAAGACGTGGAAGAAAATGAAAAGCTACCATTCAAATGGATCGAAGATTAGCCAAAATGGCAAAGTCTCAGCCAATGATCAGCTCCAGGGTGCTCAAAGAAGGTCTAAAGTTACCTGTGAGTACTGCAACAATTAGAAGTCGCCTACGTGAAGCCAAGCCATCGGCAAGAAGCCCTGCAAAGTCCCATTGGTGAAAAAAATTACACGCTAAAGAGGTTACAATCTATCAAAGAACACATTGACCAGCTTAAAGAGAAATGGTGCAACATTTTGTGGACTGATGAAAGCAAGATTGCTCTTTTTTTGGGTCTATGGGCTGCAGACAGTTTGCTAGACGACCCCCAAACACTGAATTCAACCCACAGTACACTGTGAAGACAGTGAAGCATGGTGGCGTGAGCATCATAGATATGAGAATGTTTCTGATACTATGGTGTTGGGCCTATTTATCGCATATCAGGGATCATGGATAAGTTTGAATACATCAGAATACTTGAAGAGATCATGTTGCCTTATGCTGAAGAGGAAATGCCCTTAAAATGAGTGTTTCAATAAGGCAATGACCCCAAACACACCAGTAAGTGAGCAGCATCTTGGTTCCAGACCAAGATTAACGTTATCGAGTGGCCAGCCCAATCGCTGGACCTTAATCCAATAGAAAACCTGTGGGGTGACATAAAAAATGCATTTCTTGATTTTACTTTAGAAGCAGCAGAGGGATTGTGGAAGGTAGTGCAATCAGCCTGGTCTGGAATACCTGTTCACAGGTGCCAAATGTTGGTCGACTCCATGCAACACAAGTGTGAAACAGTTCTCAGAAACAGTGGTTATACAACTAAATATTTGCTCAACTAAATATTGCTCAGCGATTCACAGGAAAGCTAAATCGTCAAGCATTTTTCCTTTTATACAGTAAATGTTTGAGTTTGTAAAGAAAAAAGCAGACACTGCTATTTTTTTGAACAGCCTAATATTCCCTTTTATGGAATAGACTGTACAGTGTTCCCAATGCATTTGCGTGTACGGAAATAAAAGCTATTATAAGGATTTTGAGCTTTACTCACTTTTTATTTTTAAACACACTGCTAATTTTTTTTTTTTAAACACAACTGTAATTAAAAGAGGACATCAGAAGTCTATTGCTACAGAATGGGCAGCTTCGTATTGCTGTTAGAGGTCTATACCCTGGATCAAGTGTAAGGGGTAGTATGGTGGTAGACAATCACACAATAGAATATGGGAGGATTTCTATATTATGCTGCATACAGTGACATTATCAACATAATTCCTTGAAATATTAGTTCAAATAATACAAACAAGACTACCTTGGCATCAGCTTGGTCTGTTTTTCGGGTTCTCTTCATTATCTCCTCTCAATTCTCTAAAGAAAAAATATACACCAGCTTTAGTAAAATGAGTAGTATTAGTGTATTAAATTTGTATTCATCTATTCCTATATATGAGTTGGAAACACTGGGCTTCAACGGTTTTAACAAAGATATAGATCTGAATTGTTTTATTAGAAATTAATCATTTTCCCTCACTGGCCAATTTATTAGGTACACCTGTTCAATTGCTTGGCAACACAAATTGCTAATCAGCCAATCACATGGCAGCAACTCAATGCAATTAGGCATCCAGATGTGGTGAAGACGACTTGAAGTTCAAACCAAGCATCAGAATGAGGAAGAAAGGGGATTTAAGTGACTTTGAACGTGGCATGGCTGTTGGTGCCAGACAGGCTGGTCTGAGTATTTCAAAAACTGCTGATCTACTGGGATTTTCATGCACAACCATCTCTAGAGTGCACAGAAATAGTCAGAAAAAGAGAAAATATCCAGTGAGAAGCAGTTGTGTGGACGAAAATACCTTGTTGATGTCAGAGCAGAATGGGCAGACCGATTGGAAATGAAAGAAAGACAACAATAACTCATGTCATAATGGACCAAAATCTATGAAGAATGTTTCCAACACCTTGTTGAATCTATACCACGAAGAATTAAGGCAGTTCTGAAGGCAAAGTTTGTCCTACACGGTACTAGCGTAATAAAGGTAATAAAGTGGCCAGTGAGTGTACATCAGATTTGAATTTGATTATGATCTACGAGTTAGATGTAACCTAATTTTATCTATCTTCTGCTCTGTGTATGTGACTTGCTATTTATGGATCACTGTATTTTTATTATTATTTTTTAAATCAGGTAATTTTTATTAAAATATTATTATTTTCCAGAAACAAGAACAACTTTAACAAAGAACAATATTCTTCAGAAAGAGTAAAAGCTTCACAGGATGGTTAAATTAAAAACAGAACAAAGTACAAGAGAGACATACAACGTCGGGATTGTGCATATCACAGAAAAAAGATATTATAAACCAAAAAGTACCTTTTTATCACCCAGCAGTATTCCACTTTAAAAGCTCATACAGTGCACCTATAACAGGCAAAAGTAGTACAAACTGCCTACCCCATTGGCAGAACAGCTACCTAATTCCCCACATCACCAACCAGGGACAATTAGGAGTGTGTTGATTCACCCTTCCTTAAATTAAAGTTAAGTGCATCAGGCCACTGAATGTAGGTTAGAGACGTGGGTGAGATCAATTTCTGCAGAATGGGTTTATGAGCCAAGTATAAGGATCTTGTCCACAATAATTTCAGCTGGAAGAAAATCTTCCTGAATTACTCCCAGGAGAGCAAATCTGGGGTCTAACAACGCCAGTGTAGAACAAAGTGTGTTAAGGGTTGTAAAAATAGGCTCCCAGTATTGGTGAAGCTTAGGGCAGCACCATAACGCATAACATGTAAATAAAGGTACCCATGGCTGTAGTACATCTGGGGCATTGAGAGGACTCCGCTCTCCCCCAGGAGTGCCGTTTCTGTGGGGTACTCTATGGACAATGAACAGTTGAGTCAGGCATTGTGAAGGAAATAAAGAGACCCGAGTTAAAAGTTTCCAAAGCCTGAGTCCACAGCTTATCATCCAAGGATTCAATATTCTGTTGCCATATTTGAAGGCTGTTCATGGATATATGAGCACTTACAGCCATTTGGAGAGTGGAGTGTAGATCCCCTATTAAACCTCTTTTGGAGCAGGATGAAAAGATTGCCAAAGTGTGGATGGATTATATTTTAATAGGAATGTTGCCGCTTGGCTCTGTAGAGTGTGACGTAGCTGACGGTATTGAAATAAAAAAAGTTTGTTGGGTAGCTGGTAGCACTGCCAATGCATTAAAAGGCGGTAATACACCCTTACCATACAATTGGTGAAGAACCCCAAGACCAACCCTTTACAAGTGTCAAACTCTTAAAGTCTTGCCAAATCCTGCAGTTGTGGATTGTTCCAAACACATATTGAGAATACCTTTCATGTGAGGTAATGACTTGGAGAGATTCCCATAGCTTGTGTATTAAGTGAAATGTAGGAAAGCTACATTTAAGATGGAAATGGTGTGCCACTACCAATCGGACAGGCTGAGTTTCAGTAAACTGAGAAAGCACAATACACTGTATAGGGTCTTGAGGGTGAAGTCTGTGCCAGCCATACCAATCCTGCATTTGTGAAGCTAAGAAATACAACCTACCATTAGCTACCATGAGGCTGTATTTATTTTTGTTTTGTATATACACATTTTAGGGGTTAGGCGTTTAGAATATGGTGTTTTTTTTTTTTTAGAGTTCTCAGGATTATGTTACTTTTACAAAGAATGTATTGAGTTAAACGTTTAATGTATTGCTGCCTGGATAGGAGAGATTTGAGTTGCTAGAGAGATTATGCTTAGACTGCTTCTTTTTTCTGACATGAAACATATTGTGTGGGGCTAAGCATCAGGACGTTGGCACAGATTGAGAAATGGCTTCATGCACTGATGTACGAATGGTGTGGCATCCTAGAAGATACTAAGCATCTTGTACCTGAGTGATGGATTCAGCACCAATTCTCTCAGTGATACACATTTTGTTTTATATAAATTTTAAAAGTACAGTTTTACCTTATGGAACACTCTCCTTTTGCTTTTTAACTATGAGTGCTTGGTGGGAGTTATATAAATATAAGAAGGATGACATCCCTACCACCACAGGATGCTGGGATTCAATTAAGTGTGAATGACAATCTAGTGAACAATAAATTATATAAGCGTATACAAATTTGGAAAATTTTAAATTCTTTCACTTTTATTGAAAAAAAAAATACATTTTTGTTATAGAGCACTTGGATTTTAGTGCAGAGAGGGATCTACAGGATATATTTGAAATCAAGTTCTGTTTAACTTTATGCTTGTAAGAGGTAATATGTTTTAGTGCATTTGTTTTGCTTCAGGGTAAATATCACTGAGTGGTGCTGTTTGGGAGGAAACACTTTTGAACAAGTGGAGAGGACTGTTCACTTATTTGCACAATATTGTTTAAGGGGATTCTTGACTGATAGCACATAAGTTTATTTGCACATTGTATATTTGACTTTTTGGTTATTGGTTTTATTGCTGTATTTTAAGCATTCCTGTAATCACAGCTTACAAACTGCTTCAAGTTAATTTGGAAAATGACCAAGCCTTTCAGTGACTAAACACTTAATTCATCCAGACATGCAAGTTTTATGGCCTGCACATGCATGGCCATTCCTTCTATTCATTAAGTCATAACTGAGCAGAAGTAAAATTACAAACAAAAAAGCCCTGATCCCATGAAACAAAAGAAGTTTCCTTCCTGCAAGTTAGGAGTTGGTTGGTCATGGTAGAGTACAGAAATGGTGAGGACATACACTATATTGCCAAAAGTATTGGGACACCCTTCCAAATCATTTGATTCAGGTGTTCCAATCACCTCCATGGCCACAAGTCTATAAAATCAAGCACCTAGGCATGCAGACTGCTTCTACAAACATTTGTGAAAGAACGGGTTGCTCTCAGGAGCTCAGTGAATTCAAGTGTGGTACTGCGATAGGTTGCCACCTGTGCAATAAGTCCATCCATGAAATTTCCTTGCTATTAAAAATATGCCATGGTCAACTGCTAGTGGTATTATAACAAAGTGGAAACAACTGGGAACAACAGCAACTCAGCCACAAAGTGGTAGGCCAAGTAAAATGACAGAGTAACCGTCTGCAGAGTCAATAGCTAAAGACCACCTAACTTCATGTGGCCTTCAGATTAGCTCAACAGTGTAGATAGCTTCATGGAATGGGTTTCCATGGCCGAGCAGCTGCAATGCAAAGCATCGGATGCAGTGGTGTAAAGCAGGCCGCCAGTGGACTCTAGAGCAGTGGAGATGTGTTCTCTGGTGTGACTAATTACGCTTCTCTGGCAAGCCGATGGACGTGTCTGGATTTGGCGATTGCCAGGAGAACGGTACTTGCCTGACTGCATTGTGCCAAGTGTAAAGTTTGGTGGAGGGGGGTTTATGGTGTGGGGTTGTATTTCAGGGGTTGGGCTTGGACCCTTCGTTCCAGTGAAGGGAACTTCAAGAACAAAACCAGCGCTCAAATCTTTGTGCTAAAGAGGGACACGGTGTCTGTCACTCGCTGATTTGCAGCTTTCTAAAGATCAGGGAATCTTGATGCTAACAAAAGAAAACAAAAAAGGGGGCACACTCTCCTCTTGCATTACTGTGATAAAAAGGAATTTATTGTAAAACGGGCAATACATACTCACAAACCAAAGCTATTAAAAGCAGATGTAAAGAGCCAAAGGCATTAGTCCCAGAAAACGGGGGTCCTTCATTGAAATGTGCTAACGCTTTTCGGCAGGCGAACTCTCTTCCTCAGAACTGAGGCTACTAGACATGATAATGACCCATATATAGGGGAGAAAATTATGTGAAATGCAACACCTCCCCCAATCCACATGGGGGTTGGCTGGGGTGGAGCCCAACAAAGGCTGCCTAGCCACGGATCCCTATCACTTTGAGGTGGAAAGTGGTATAGCCATAGTAATAGTGCCCATAAAAGTGTAGTCTCCAATGTCCACAATCTGAATATTGATCAAATTAATATTGATATCCATGTGTATATAGGATAAAATGCAAATAATGAAATAATGGAGGCCTTACAGTGCCAAACGGGGAGAATGAGTAACACATGAGGGCCGGCCAACATGGCGTCTTCCATGTGCATTAGGACGCCAGGAGCACAAGCCGTGGATCGGTCGTCACTCCGGACAAGTGGACACTGGCTTTCATTTCCGCGCATGCGCACCTTGCAAGGGGACCAAATGCTCATGTGCTAGGTTCCTCACTGCTCACAGGGAGTGGACCGGAAATTGGTCACATTAAGGGTGGGAATGCACTATGGGAAAGGACCGGAACTGGCAAAGCTGGCAACCTCAAATAGATGGGTGATAAAGCAACAAGTGCATAGGGCAGAGCTGCTTGGGAATACAGCCAAAACCAACATGTTATACAATTTCACTAAATATGTAAAAAAAAAAATAGATAATCATATTATTGTTGCATCATACAATAATTTCATTTAACAAATTAAAAATAAAATATATAAAGACTTTGTATGATACAACAATTAGGGAATGCAGAAATGAACCAGTACAATGACATAAATACACAAATAAGCCAGTTTTAACAAAAAGATAGGATGCATAACTCTTGAATGGGAATAGAGGTTAAAAAGGGAGAAGAAAATATTACTAGATACACAGCCCTAACGGCTGGTGGAAGGAAAAAAAAAAATGAATACAAAATAGTGAACTTCAGAGAGGTAATGTAGAAAGGTATATTGATGTAAACAGGGCTCATGTAGGAACAAAAAAAACCTTCTGGATAGAGCCCATAATGTGATGTGTGTTATACATGCGTGGTGTGGATCTGACAACCGCGAGCTATAGAAAGTGCACCAAAGCTCTACACCAAAAGCCCAACTTAGGCCTATGGAAAGGCATCTGTGATGAATGTCACTTGTACTATACCTAAAATACAGTCAGGTCCATAAATATTGGGACATCGACACAATTCTAACATTTTTGGCTCTATACACCACCACAATGGATTTGAAATGAAATGAACAAGATGTGCTTTAACTGCAGACTGTCAGCTTTAATTTGAGGGTATTTACATCCAAATCAGGTGAACGGTGTAGAAATTACAACAGTTTGCATATGTGCCTCCCACTTGTTAAGGGACCAAAAGTAATGGGACAATTAGCTTTTCAGCTGTACCATGGCCAGGTGTGTGTTATTCCCTCAATATCCCAAATACAATGAGCAGATAAAAGGTCCAGAGTTCATTTCAAGTGTGCTATTTGCATTTGGAATCTATTTTTGTCAACTCTCAAGATGAGATCCAGAGAGCTGTCACTATCAGTGAAGCAAGCCATCATTAGGCTGAGAAAACAAAACAAACCCATCAGAGAGATAGCAAAAACATTAGCCGTGACCAAAACAACTGTTTGGAACATTCTTAAAAAGAAGGAATGCACCGGTGAGCTCAGCAACACCAAAAGACCCGGAAACAACTGTGGTGGATGACCGAAGAATTCTTTCCCTGGTGAGGAAAACACCCTTCACAACAGTTGGCCAGATCAAGAACACTCTCCAGGAGGTAGGTGTATGTGTGTCAAAGTCAACAATCAAGAGAAGACTTCACCAGAGTGAATACAGAGGGTTCACCACAAGATGTAAACCATTGGTGAGCCTCAAAAACAGGAAGGCCAGATTAGAGTTTGCCAAACGACATCTAAAAAAGCCTTCACAGTTCTGGAACAACATCCTATGGACAGATGAGACCAAGATCAACTTGTACCAGAGTGATGGGAAGAGAAGAGTATGGAGAAGGAAAGGAACTCTTCATGATCCTAAGCATACCACCTCATCAGTGAAGCATGGTGGTGGTAGTGTCATGGCGTGGGCATGTATGGCTGCCAATGGAACTGGTGCTCTTGTATTTATTGATGATGTGACTGCTGACAAAAGCAGCAGGATGAATTCTGAAGTGTTTTGGGCAATATTATCTGCTCATATTCAGCCAAATGCTTCACAATTCATTGGATGCCGCTTCATAGTGCAGATGGACAATGACCCAAAGCATACTGCAAAAGCAACCAAAGAGTTTTTTTAAGGGAAAGAAGTGGAATGTTATGCAATGGCCAAGTCAATCACCTGACCTGAATCCGATTGAGCATGCATTTCACTTGCTGAAGACAAAACTGAAGGGAAAATGCCCCAAGAACAAGGCAGAGCATCACCAGGCCTGGAAGATCACCAGGGATGAAACCCAGCGTCTAGTGATGTCTATGCGTTCCAGACTTCAGGCTGTAATTGACTGCAAAGGATTCGCAACCAAGTATTAAAAAGTGAAAGTTTGATTTATGATTATTATTCTGTCCCATTACTTTTGGTCCCTTAACAAGTGGGAGGCACATATGCAAACTGTTTGTAATTCCTACACGGTTCACCTGCTTTGGATGTAAATACCCTCAAATTAAAGCTGACATTCTGCAGTTAAAGCACATCTTGTACGTTTCATTTCAAATCCATTGTGGTTGTGTATAGAGCCAAAAATGTTAGAATTGTGTCGATGTCCCAATATTTATGGACCTGACTGTATGTGCAACTTATATAACAGACTGGACATCTAATGCGTCATTGAGACCCTTGGGGACCAGGGAACCCAAATGATGGATCCAGAAGGATTCTCTTTTACAGAGCTGGGGAACTTCCTGCCCATGTCAATACCACTGTGTATGGCTTCTATACCAAATAGTTTAAGTCCCATGGGGCTCTCATCATGTACTTCACTGAAGTGACAAAACACCGTGTGTTTGTCAAATCCATGTAGTATATTTCGCTTGTGTTCACCATATCTGGTTTTAAGTGAACGTGTAGTGCGAACCACATATAGGAGCCCGCAAAGGCAAACTAGACAGTATATGACAAACTGTGTACCACAGTTGATGAACTGTTTTATCTGGTGAGCCTTCCCCACCCGTAGGAGGAGGGAGAGGTGGAGTTAAGTCCCAAAAGAGGAAAGAAGTAACTCAGCAACTCAGAACCATCAAAATCTTCAACCTTTCTAAAGCTGTTTTCAGTGATTCTGAATACAGTCTATTACAGAAGGGCTTGAATTTTGCACCTCCCAATCCTCCTAATTTATTTGAACTTTTTGTTGATCTCAACAGATTCACACGGAACCTTACTCCTAAAAGATATTTTTCCATCAAAGATAACAAGATGGAAATGAGAAAAGGTTCCATTGAAGAGAACATTAATTTTTTGGTTTCTACCTGTGACTCTGATGATGAACCCTCAGCTATTCTGGAAGAACTTTGGGTTGAGGGGTGTGGAGAACCAGATGGTTTGGGAGACTTGCATTTGTTTGGCCCATGGTCCGCAGACACTCATGGGCAACATTTTTATGAGGCAACATTTCTGAAGCAATTATGTCTTTTAACCAATTATCTATTTTGCATTTTCATATACTGTATGTATATCTACAGATTACAAGGTATTATATGTTGTTATGGATATGAGACATGTTCCAAACAAATATGTTTAATCTTGAAGATGATGTCACCCATATGCAGAGTTCTTCTCTTTGCCCTGAGGAAGGAGTGGAATCACTCTGAAACGCGTTAGAACAATTAGATTAGTATCTCTGCAGCTGTTACATCTATGATAATACGAATTTGTATCTCTTATGACCAGTCAAACACAGTCATATTGGGTATCATCATGTAATTTCATTTCCTGATTGTGATGCTTTTATTGTCACCTTTTTTGACAATAAAATTTATATATTTTTAAATACTTCCAGTACTTTCTAAGCCCTTAATGTCCCAGTGTTGGGGGGTCTCTCCTTTTTCCAATTTTTGTCTTGGGGATGTTGGCTTATAATCAGGAATTTTCCCCTTCATTTGGGATGAATTAGAACAGCGACTGCGAGCCAGGCCTTCTCATTTGACATTAGTTCCTGACCTCATCAACCAATCCAGCTATAGAAAGTGTGCCAAATGTTTTAATAAGCTCTATAACAAGAAGTTATATTTAAAAAATGATAAATATGTAGTGTATGTAGGAAAGAATCACACATGGGCATTTGGAGAAGCTTAGAGGCAGAAAAAAGCCACTACCATTGCATGCAGGAGCAGCATCGCTTTAGCAGAAAAAAATGCTTGAAGCGCGTACACGCGTGTTAACACTAGGAAAGTTTATAGCGCTTGAGCATAACTTCATTTCAATGGGCAGAAAAAATTATAAGCATGGGTTTAAAAGCGCCACAAATTTTTTCTGCCAAAATGCTGCTGCCATGAGGAAAGGCATCTAAGAGAGATGCTCAAACATCCAGTGTGCATGAGGCCTAAGTGTTAACTCCTAGGTAAACAGGGTATTCTTCCTCTGCTTTTCATACCCTTGTTAACAAGTCAGTATAATAAAACTATATATAAATATAATAGGAGGTACAAATGTAAATGTCACTGGCAATTGTCAAAAAAACGAAACAAAAAAAAAAAAACCCACCGCTGCAGTCTGAATGAATTGTTTATAAATGGGTATAATTCTCGCAGACTATATACATTTTGCATCCGAAGCCCTATAGTGCCAAGCATGAAAATGTATAGCAATGGCAATATATGGAACAAAATAGATTTACTAGATGGCTTTCTTCCAGTGATCTCCAAAGACACACCATCCACAGCAGTTCAAATGCAGTGCAGTTCGCTGCAACTTACCTTTTTTCTTTCAAGTCTTTCTTGCATATTTTGCTGCATGATTTTTTCTCTCTCTTGCTTTTGCTTCTCAGCTTCCTCAAGAGCTCTGGCTTCAGCTTCTTCTTTCTTTAACCAAAAGAAAATTTTGTCACAATGTACATAATACAACCTTTTATTAATGAGTTCAACATAGTCCTCTCCAAAAGGTACAAGTTTACAGATATTCCACTGTATAGTTAAAATTAGTGTATCCAAATCTATCATTTTTATGGATTGAGCCGGAAACAGAAACTGGTAACAGAAAACCCTTTTTCACTGCACTTCATGGTTAAACCACAATTACTGATACAGCTGCACTCAAAAAACATCCACCATGTACTCAAGATATATTTATTCAAGTTGTTGCGCTGTGTATAAACCACCAATATAATGAACAAAAAAGTAAATGTGATTAATTTTAAATAAACCAAAATCCCAGTGACAAGGCGCAAGAACAAATAGTGTGATTCTCCCCAGCCTGGTCACAGACAAAAATAAAAACCTAAGTCAATGTCAGATGAATTCTGCCCCAAAGAAAGTGTCCGTCATCAACAGAATCTTGTGAATAGTATATCCACCACCATCAAAAACATCTTACCAGATTCCTAGACCCCTAAATTATAGGTGATATATATGGCATGAAGTTGCATATATCCCAATGCTGTGATTTTCACCTTATGGATGTTCCGATGCTGTGGTCTCTTTTCCTCTCTCTTTGCCACAAAAAAACTCACATACAAAAAATATCTCCATTGCGATGTACCGCAGAAAATGTATTAAAGAAGGCAATGATTCTACTCACAAAGATAGTATGGATAAAACACATGCATCAAACGCTGCTGGTTCCGGCTCCAGCTGGCAAAGATGATGTCAGCATGGACTCCTCGTAACCTGACCTATGTTTCATCCGCAAGGACGTTGTCAAGCGGACCAGTCTAAACATGCTGACATGTCTTTACATTATATAGAGCTGCTTAGCTGCAGCAGGAGAATCCTCTCTCTAAAATATTTCATCATTTGAACTATTGAATTTGTGCAGAGATTAAAAAAGGAGATCTTGATCAATAATCCAAAAACAAACTTTAAAAATGTATTGATTATATAAAAAATGGAGGCTAACACTCCCTACTGGATATCAGTATAATGTATTTCTATATATCAAAATTAATTCTATTCTTCATATAATATATCCATAGAAAGAAAATTCTCCCACATATTAAACAGTTGCATTAAAATATTTAAAACAAAATATGCAATAAATAAAACACTAGATAACTATAATACAAGAAAAAAGCAGAGATACACATTTTATCGAACTATTACTAATAAAACTATTTAGATCCCACTCCACGTTGTGGCCATGGGGGTATATAGGATTTTAATTTAAAAATCCATCTTGTTTCAAGTTGGGAAATACCTTTAATCTTATTACTTCCCTCCAATGGGATACATACCTGTCTATTCCCGTCGCCTGTAGGCTAGAAGGATCTTTATTATGCTTCAAATTAGAATGGTTTGATCAACTATGTTTTGGGTAGTCTTTCCGAATATTATCAATCTGTTCCTCAATTCTATAGTTTGTAGGGCTCGCTTTGTCCTTCCATACACGGGCAAGTTAGCAGGTAAACCACATATGTGGTAGAACAAGTTATACATTGTGCTATATCATGTCTTATTAGTTACTTCAGTGTTAAAAGTTTTAGTTTTATGACAATTATTACCCACTGTTTTACACACTTTGTGCATGGAAAAAAATCCCTTATAATCTCCAAACATAAAAGTTTTCAATGTTTTTTTTTTACCTCATTTGGGGCTATATAGTGTCTTAAATTAGGGACTTTTATATAAATAATATGGAGGTTTGGAATAAAGCCTGGTGTAGCAGAGCTGGGCCTGCAAATGTAAATAGCATTTAAGACTATTGTAAACTTCCTATCTGCAGAATCTTTGACTGAAGAAACATCTTCAGTTGGTACAGGGAAATGTTTAAGATTGAGATGGCAGTATCTACTATAGCAGCGGTTCTCAACCTGGGGGTCGCGACCCCTTTCGGGGTCGAACGACCATTTCACACGGGTCGCCTAAGACCATCGGAAAACACATATTTCCGATGGTCTTAGGAGCCGAGACACCGCTCCTGTCTCAGGCGATCTGTGGGCAGGATGATATGCTGCCCCTGTAACCTGGCCACACCTCCGGGATCACTCAACAGCTCCGCCTCCTCGCCGCTGATTGGCCACCGGAACTGTAGCTCAGGAGAGGCACACAGGCGGCCAATCACCGGCGAGGAGGTGGAGCTTGGAGAGGAGGAGCCGAGCGGCAGAGCGCGGAGATCGAAGAAGATCGAGGGAGCTGCAGGAGCGAGTGAAGAGAGAGGCCAGAGAAGGAAGACAGCTGACAGGTAAGTGCAAATTTTGCTGCTGCAGCAAGGTATGCAGGCTGTAGATGGGAGAGGGAGAGAGCGAGCCCAGGCTGGAGCAGGAGTCAGCAAGGTAAGTATCATTGGTGTCAGTGGAAGGGATAGTGCCCCATCATTTGTGTCACTAATACCAACGATGGGGCAGTATTCCTCCTCCCACTGACACCAACGATGGGGCACTATTCCTCCCCCCACTGACACCAATGATGGGGCACTATTCCTCCCACTGATACCAATGATGGGGCACTATTCCTCCCACTGACACCAATGATGGGGCACTATTCCTCCCACTGACACCAATGATGGGGTACTATTCCTCCCACTGACACCAATGATGAGGCACTATTCCTCCCAATGACACCCACAATGGGGCACTATTCCTCCCACTGACACCCACAATGGGGAACTATTCCTCCCACTGACACCAACGATGGGGCACTATTCCTCCCCCCACTGACACCAACAATGGGGCACTATTCCTCCCCCCACTGACACCAATGATGGGGCACTATTCCTCCCACTGACACCAATGATGGGGCACTATTCCTCCCACTGATACCAATGATGGGGCACTATTCCTCCCACTGATACCAATGATGGGGCACTATTCCTCCCACTGACAATAATGATGGGGCACTATTCCTCCCACTGACACCAATGATGAGGCACTATTCCTCCCAATGACACCCACAATGGGGCACTATTCCTCCCACTGACACCCACAATGGGGCACTATTCCTCCCACTGACACCCACAATGGGGCACTATTATCTCCCACTGACACCCACAATGGGGCACTATAATTCCCACTGACACCCACAATGGGGCACTATTCCTCCCACTGACACCCACGATGGGGCACTATTCCTCCCACTGATACCAACGATGGGGCACTATTCCTCCCACTGATACCAAGGATGGGGCACTATTCCTCCCACTGATACCAACGATGGGACACTATTCCTCCCACTGACACCCACAATGGGGCACTATTCCTCCCACTGACACCCACAATGGGGCACTATAATTCCCACTGACACCCACAATGGGGCACTATTCCTCCCACTGACACCCACGATGGGGCACTATTCCTCCCACTGACACCCACGATGGGGCACTATTCCTCCCACTGACACCCACGATGGGGCACTATTCCTCCCACTGACACCCACGATGGGGCACTATTCCTCCCACTGACACCCACGATGGGGCACTATTCCTCCCACTGACACCCACGATGGGGCACTATTCCTCCCACTGACGCCAATGATTGTACACTATTCCTCCCACTGATACCAATGATTGTACACTATTCCTCCCACTGACGCCAATGATGGGGCACTATTCCTCCCACTGACGCCAATGATGGGGCACTATTCCTCCCACTGACACAATGATGGGGCACTATTCCTCCCACTGACACCAATGATGGGGCACTATTCCTCCCACTGACACCAATGATTGTACACTATTCCTCACACTGATACCAATGATTGTACACTATTCCTCCCACTGATACCAATGATGGGGCACTATTCCTCCCACTGATACCAATGATGGGGCACTATTCCTCCCACTGATACCAAGGATGGGGCACTATTCCTCCCACTGATACCAACGATGGGGCACTATTCCTCCCACTGACACCAACGATGGGACACTATTCCTCCCACTGACACCAACGATGGGACACTATTCCTCCCACTGACACCAACGATGGGACACTATTCCTCCCACTGACACCAACGATGGGGCACTATTCATCCCACTGATACCAACGATGGGACACTTTTCATCCCACTGACATCAGTGATGGGGCGCTAGTCCTCCCACTGCAAAATTACAGTTATGAAGTAGCAACGAAAATAATTTTATGGTTGGGGGTCACCACAACATGAGGAACTGTATTAAGGGGTCGCGGCATTAGAAAGGTTGAGAACCACTGTACTATAGGAACAGACCACCTATCAGTGAACTCTTTTTCCTTTGGAAAGAGATCGGCAAGGGTTTTTGGAAGAGTGAAAATCTGGAATCTCTTTTCTGGATTGATCCAATTGTCTTAGACTGCCCTTTCTTTTTGTTCATGAACAGGAAATGTCTTTTTTGCGGGTCTCAAAAGCATAAGTGAGCATATTCACATTAGCAACTATGTTGCTAGCTGTATTTTCAGATGTATAGGAATCTGGGGGTGAAAATCACTCCACGGTTTCCTCTAACACCTCTGGTTCCTCTTCATTTCCTTCTATGTACACCTCTTCTAGCCCAGGCATATTGGGATGTAACTCAGGTACAGATGGAGGAGCAGGAGTGCAGGTCTTTGACAGCGCTGATGTTCACCTGAGCTTTTACCATAGCTTCCTTTGACCTATTTTCCACCATAGATATACACTATATTGCCAAAAGTATTTGGACGCCTGCCTTTACACACATATGAACTTTAATGGCATCCCAGTCTTAGTCCATAGAGTTCAATATTGAGTTGGCCCACCCTCTGCAGCTATAACAACATCAGCTCTTCTGGGAAGGCTGTCCACAAGATTTCAGAGTGTGTCAATGGGAAATTGACCATTCTTCCAGAAGCACATTAGTGAGGTCAGGCACTGATGTCGGACGAGACGGCCTGGCTCGCAGTCTCCACTCTAATTCATCCCAAAAGTGTTCTATCGAGTTGAGGTCAGGGCTCTCAAGTTCCTCCACCCCAAACTCGTTCATCCATGTCTTTATGGACCTTGTTTTGTGCACTGGTGCGCAGTCATGTTGAAACAGGAAGGGGCCATGCACAAAGTTGGGAGCATTAAATTGTCCAAAATGTCTTGGTATGCTGATGCCTTAAGAGCTCCCTTCACTCGATCTAAGGGGCCAAACCTTACAGTTGGCACAATGTGTCAGGCAAGTACCGTTCTGCCGGCAACTGCCAAACTCAGACACATCCATTGGACTGACAGACCGAGAAGCATGAATCCGCCCTCCAGAGAACACATCTCCAGTGCTCTGTCCAGTGGTGGTGTGCTTTACACCACTGCATTCAACACTTTGCATTGCACTTGGTGATGTAAGGCTTGGATGCAGCTGCTCGGCCATGCAAACCCATTCCATGAAGCTCTCTACGCACTGCTGTTGTGCTAATCTGAAGGCCACATGAAGTTTGGAGGTCTTTAGCTACTGACTCTGTAGACAGTTGGCGACGTCTACATACTGTGCGTTTCAACATGTGCTGACCCCGCTCTGTCATTTTACGTGGCCTACCACTTCGTGGTGGAGTTGCTGTTGTTCCCACTTGCTTCCACTTTGTTTAAGTACCACTAACAGTTGACCGTGGAATATTTAGTAGCAAGGACATTTCACTGATGGACTTATTGCACAGGTGGCAACTTATCACAGTACCATGCTTGAATTCACTAAGCTCTGGAGAGCGACCCATTCTTTCACAAATGTTTGTAGAAGCAGTCTGCATGCCTAGGTGCTTGATTTTATACACCTGTGGTCATGGAGGTGATTGGAACACCTGAATCCAATGACTTTGAGAGATGTTCCAATACTTTTGGCAATATAGTGTAGGTGAGGGTAAATCCCTGTGGGGTATTTATGGAGTAGGGTAAGCGTGTTTGGAAGGAGTACACCAGGGTGTAGATGTCCTGTAGCGACGTCCTTGTGTTAAACGGGTAGAGGAAGTGCCCAAGTACCCTATAAGGGCTCTAGGCAGATGTGGGTGCTTTCTTCTGAAAATGCTGGTTGACTGGCTTTTATGCCCATCTATTGATTTCAGTGTTTTTTGAGTCGCCTATCCAGAAAAGGTATACAGATCAGGAATTACTGGTTGCATGCTTGCTTTAGGTTTGTGATGTAGAAAGACAGACAGGTAATTAGCATTTTTAGAAGGAGTTCAACAATGGCACTTAGCTCACACACACCCCATCAGCAGCCAGTTGCTCAACATCATGCAACCCCAAGCACGGCTTCCTGTGTATGTGAACTGTCAGCGTGCATGAGATCAAGCACAGTGGCGGCTGCATTCGGTATAGAATTGCTGCCATAACCACACTGTCAACTGGAGCTCCTATCAAGGGTGGTGAGAGGATTTTGGTGCACAGTACCGAGATGTGATAAGTTCGGATTCATTTTTGTTTGTGAGTGCATTTGTATCTAGTTTTTATTATAAAATAAAGGTTATTGCACCAGAGCCTGTGAGCCCTTCTCATGTTTGTGCGTTTTAATCCTTATGCTGCTAGAAATAATAGATACATAGGACAGTATATCCTATTTGCTTGATTTAACCTTTTTTTAAAGCTTCTTCAGTTACTTTATGGTCTCTTGCCTAGGCAAATTATGTCATACATCCTAGGAGTCTTCAAGAAGGGTTTTCTCCTCAGCTAAGCACATCCTCCTGCCTCCATGCCTGATCTAAGGGCAGAAGGATTCCAGGAAGTAAATGCTACATAAACCATATGCCCTAACTCAAGAGATGGCTGCAGCCAGAAGTGCAAGGGGGTGTTTTTTTTCAAAGTGATTTCTCAGCAAGATAAAGCATGGAGACATAGATGCATGAGAGAGTTCGCTTTGAATATTAAAAATAAATTAAATAATGCTTTTGGTTTGTGGTGCTCAGATACAGTGTAGTTCTACTTTAAGTTCATGTAAACCCTAAATCCAAATTCAAGTATCTGCTGCCATATGCATTAAAGTTCACAGATTACACACATTTCTTTTTTTATTTATTTAATTAATATACTTTAAAATATTTTACCAGGTGATCCTTTAAGTAAAAGCCTAAAACAGGAAGCCTGCTTTACAGCCCCAAACACTACTAATCCCTGCATCAATTAAAGACAACATTGTTAACCCCGCAATGGGCGCTCTTTCAGTAGGACTAGTGGATGTTTTGTTGACACATAGAGGTTGAATAATTAAAGCTGGGGAGTGCAAAATCTGGTACAGCTCTACATAGAAACCAATAAACTTCCAGTTTATTTTTTTTTTTTTGTCAAAGCTTAATTGATCAAGCTGAAGTTAGCAGCTGATTAGCTACCATGCACAGTTGCACCAAATTATGCACTCTCCAGTTTTAGTAAATCAACCCCCCACAGTGTGGCCCTGTAGTCTCTTGTTAGCACCCATCTGCCTGCCCATATATCCTCTGTCTACCCCTCCCACCCAACCCTGTTTGAATGATGACAGTTCCAGGAAAATGGGTGCACACAGTGTATTTCCCCCTACAGCAATGAGCTCAGCCACACCATTAACAGGAGCTGTGCATTCACATCTATGACATGTGGACACACAGCAAAAGTGGATTCAGCAGGAATTTAAGACAAACACAATTTCCCATCATGGAAACATTGAATTTTTAAAGTGATATCAGAACGAAAACAGCAATTTAGCAGATGTGCCAAAAGTATTTATTTTAGTTGGGTTTTTTGGCGGGGAAACTTAAATATTTGTATAATGTGCATACAAAGTTGTAATCCTATATACCTAATGCATCAAAATTGGCAGCACAGTGGCTCAGTGGAAAGCACTCCTGCCTTGCAGCACTAAGGTCTGCACTTCGATTCCCCGCGATTCCCCGCCAAGATACTGCATGCATGTTCTCCCTGTGCTTGCATGGATTTTACTCTGGGTACTCTCCCACTTTCCAAAAATATAGTGTTCATACAGCATACTGCAGATCAACGAGGACCATAACCTTTACAAATCCCTAACCAGCCTGCTAGATGTAACATATGTACATAATTGTCACAGAAAGAGCAGATGTGATGATAAATTCATCACAGTATAAAGTATCACTTATAACAACATTGCAAATATAATAAGTTTACCAGAGATACCCAAATACCTGTTGCTGAAGCTCTGCTAATTTCTCCTGTTCTTCTAGTTCTCTGAGGAGTTTTTCTTCTTGAGCTTTTCTTTCTTCTTCCTCTCTCTCTAGTTTTCGTCTTTCTTTTAGTAATTTTTCCTCCTCTTTCAGCCTCTGTCTCTCCTCTTCAGCTTTGCGAGCCATTTCTTCCTGTCTTACTCTATTAAAAAAAGAAAAAGCAGCCATTCCTAATTATCCAGGTAACCATGCACAGGAAAATGCAAAGTGATTGGAGAAGAGGGATAGGGACTCTACTGTTGGCTGCCAATACAATACTAACAATAGTGATGTATATAGGATTTGAGTGGTTAGAGTTGGTCTGGTGATGGGTTATAGTGAAAAGGAGTTAGGAAAAAAAACTGGGATAAATTATTAAAAGTTCTTTTTTTCTAAATAAATATTGGTATAAAATATAACCATCATTAATATTTGATACTGTAGGTATAATTATAGTATAGATATTGTTTTAAAAAAAAAAAAAAAAACCACAATAAAAACAAACTACCGTATTTTCCGACGTATAAGGCGACTGGGTGTATATGACAACCCCCTAATTTTCCAGTTAACACATAGGTTTTGGGCTATAAGACTACCCCCCTTCTGAGGCAACACCATTTAAAAACATCAGATTTTTTAATTGAAATGGTTATGACTTACCGGTACTTAAAATCCTTCAAAATCCTCATGTTCATCCTCTGACATCATAAGTTCATGAATGACATCTTGTGATACATTTGTAAGACAGTCACCAAATGGATCAAATTCCAAACCAGATGGTTACCGCTGGATGTGCGGGGTAATATGATAGCTTCGGCTACATACAGTATACAGTATATATACAGCCCGCTGGATGTGCAGTAATGTACATACAGTATACCGCGCTGAGCCAAGCTGGCTCAAAACAAAATGTCCCTATGACAGATTAATCTGTCAGGCCGCTGGATGTGCGGAATATACAGTATACTGAGCCAGGCTGTTTCAAAACGTACCAGTACGTCCCTACGGTAATCAGACCGCTGAATGTGTGTATGTACAGTAGCTGAGGCTACATACAGTATACGCTGGGCCAATCACGGCGAGCGATGTATTCTACTAATGAATACAAAGCCTGCTCGGATTGGCTGAGGTTGTGACATCATCAGCCCACCTCTCTGAGTCAGCCAATCCGAGCAGGCTTTGTATTCATTAGTAGAATACATCACTCGCCGTGATTGGCCCAGTGTATACTGTATGTAGCTGCAGCTACCGTACATACACACATCCAGCGGGCTGATAACAGTAGGGACGTACCGGTACATTTTGAAACCGCTTGGCTCAGCGCAGTATACTGTATATACTGCATATCCAGCGGGCTGACAGATTAATCTGTCATAGGGACATTTGTTTTGAGCCAGCTTGGCTCAGCACGGTATACTGTATATACAGTATTACCACACATCCAGCCAGCTTGACCCAAACAAACTCAAGGTTCACATTTTGTACCCCGCGTATAAGACCACCCCCAATTTTTGGGGTATATTTTTAAATTATAAAAAGTAGTCTTATACACCAGAAAATACTGTAGTTATTTGACAACCCAATCTAACTTGAAAATGTTTATCTTTTATGAGTTCTGCCTGTGTGCTAGCCATCTTTTCCCACAACTTCCTGGATTCCCAGCATGCTTTGCGGCTTCTCTTATGCTCATTTCTTTGGTTCATTATCAAATTCTAAGGGTTACATATCCCATGGTAACTTTCTGCAAGGTGTGATTCCTACAATGATCCTGCTTCTTGAAACTCGTCTTCTATGCACTACTGTAGCCCAGAAGGAGGGCTCTGAATTCTGTTACACAGCAGTGTTTACTCACAGGGCAAAGCGAATGTGTGTCTCAGAAGTAAAGAAATTAAACGTGTACAGATCTTCACAAAACAGGAAAATTAACGTACCTGTAAATTCCATATAATAGAGCACAGTAAGGGACAAAGGCTGAGTATTCCTAAAGGCCGAGTTATAGGCTGGTGATTGAACAATGGCAAAACGTTGGAAGGACATGTTACTGACCATCCCCCTATAAACCTATCCCACTTCATGAGTCCTGAGTTTTTTTTTTAGCAATGCAGAGTAACTCAAGAACAAAAGGATGGGTGGCCTGTATCCTGTACTGCACTCAAAGATATTGATAAGTCAAGATTTCTCTTAGCTTAACTGTACAGTACAGGACATATGCTGAGTATTCAGACCTTGGGACGTCCCCAATCAATGAATGTGAAGTGTGGGCAACAACTAGGCAAACAGAACTGTACCATCAGGCCCAACAACAAGAGTTATCCCAACTTCAAAATGCCACAGCAATAATGTTGCATCTGCAGAAGAATTAGCATCTACTTGGTAAGACTCTTAAAAGGTATGAAGAGAGCAATGGTGTCTGCTTTACAAAGCTGGGGAACAGAGGCCCAGTTCTGGAATGCCCAGGAAAATTCCACCAACCAGGTGGAGTGAGAGCATAAAAGTGTAGGAGGAGCTTTGTTTGTTAGAGTGTAGGCTCTGGAAATGATTTGACTTGAAAGCAGGTTGTTCCATGAGAGTGCCTGAGGGCAGAATGAATAGTCAGTCTGTCTTCATGACAGTCACTACTGAGGTAGATTTTGATGACTTTGACTATGTCCAGGCAGTGAAGAGAAATATCCTTTGGGTGCTTTGGAGCAGGGCACAAAGATGGCAGGATTATTTCTTCATTGAAGTGAAGATTGATATCACCTACTATCACCACTTATGCTAGGAAGCAAAGATGATCTTGGGAGTAAGACTCATGAGGAATAGCTCCTTAAAAGAGGGCCACGAACTCAGAGAAAGGTCTGACAGATGTGGTGGCAACCAAAGAGGCCACTCTGCAGGAGATCATCTATGGAAATTTCCCTACTGGGTTAAAGGGGTAGTTTCTGTGGGGCAAAGAGAACCAAGGTCCCAAGGAAGCACAGCATGCTGTAAGGGAGACCTGATCTGTGATGCACCTTTTTTTTTTTTTTTTTTTTTTTTTTTTTTTTAAAAGAAGAAGGCGGCCAGAGGTTTTTTTTTTTTTTTTTTTTAAAGAATGAACAAGACAGACACCTGACCTTTCAGAGTGCTTAAGGCCAAGTTTTGGTCAAGACCTGATTTTAGGAAGACCAAAAATGTGAGGCACAAAGTAATCTCTGGGAATGAAGTACCTGTGCCCACACCAGGCAAAGAAGGATTTACACATTCGATAGTAAATCTCCCTGAAAGCAGCTTTTCTTGATTTTAGCAAAACAGAAATGACAGGTGCAGAGACCCCACAATACCTCAAAACCTGGGCTTCAACAGCTATGCAGCTTGAAGCCAGTGACTGAGAAGCAGTACAGAGGGCCATTGGGCAACAGGTTTGGCCTGTTGGGAAGAGGCCAGGGGTTGTCTCCTAATGGTCTGAGTATGTCTGTGCACAAAGTTCTTCTGGGCCAGTCTGGTGCAACGAGAATCATCAGTGTATTCTCTTGCATCTGCAAGGCATCCAATGTCAGTGCTAGAGGATACATGGTCCTGGCCACAAACAGACTTAACTTTTTGGTGAATCTGGAGGTTGGGATATCCACATCAAGGTTCCGGCACATTAGGTGCAGTATGTCAGGGTGAAGGGCCCATTCCCCTGGGTCCAGACAGCGAGGTAATTCGCCTCCCAGTTGTCTGCTTCTGGGATGTGGACAGTAAAGATCACCAGACGTTTCTCTGTCCAATAGATGATCTGGTTTGCTTCATCCAATGCTACATGACTTCTGGTAGCCCTTTGATGGTTGATGTAGGCCACAGCTGTGGTGTTGTCTGATTGCACCCTACCTGGCTATCCTCACAGAAGGGGGGCCCTGTGCTGCAGAGCCATCCTTATTGCTTTGAGCTCCAGGATTCTGATAGGAAGCATAGATGAACATGTTTCCTGAACTGTAAGGGACTCTAACACTACTCCTATAGCTGAAAGGCATTTCTCTTTATCACTTTCAAGTGATATATAAGAAAAGATTGTCCTACTATGCAGGCTGTGCTGGAGACTCACAAATAAGGAAATTGTTGCTTGGTTGGACATGGGTAGGTTGAGAGGGGGCCTGTTTGTTCCAATACGATGTGCTGGCTAGGCGTTATATTCGGTGAAAGGCACAGTCTTGAAGAAAGCAACCATGAGACCCTAGCACGCCAAACTTCCGGTACGCGGTGACGCACTTCCGGCGCCAACCGCCATCTTGGTATACCCAGGAAGTCCTTCTGATTACATGCAGCACACCCACATGTCGAGTCAAGAGGACTATGGAAATATGTGAGTGGCTATATGTCTTTTGAACACTGTCATTAAAGTGTTTTTTTGGCTCTAAAATACTGCACTTAGAGGATTTCTTTCTTTCTTGCTCACTGGATGGTGAGTAATCATCCTATAGAGGCTTCTGAGTGGGGGTAATGGAAGTACCCTCAAAGTGATCCACGACGGCAGGAGAAGTGCTGATCTCTAGGGGATAGGATCCAGAGAGATCCTGAATGCTGTGTGGCCCTTAGGGGTCGATGCAAGGAGGTGAGGAGGCAATCTAGCCGTAGGAGGGGAAGAGTTGCACTGCTGTGGAACAAGGACACATTTGTTTTGCACAATTTTTTTTGCATTTTTTGCACTTTTTTTTGCACTTTGCATGTGTCTGTCACCAGTATTTATGGACAATTTTTCTGTTTGATTCTTTGAGGATAAATATAATTAAGTGTGGTTACATCACTATACTTGGAGCACTTTAAAATTATTTAAAATTACTTTCCAGTGAGGATTTTTTCTATAGGTTTTTATACGTTTTTATAGGTTTTTTTATTATACGTTGTTTATATGTACTTTTTATATGCGTTTTACATATATTTGTGTGATTATGTGGGCACCTAAGATCATCATTAAGTGGCACTTATAATTGAGGTCATTTCACTATATGTGTGTCACTATTGCATGTGAGCACAGTTATCTTTGTATTTAAGTTAGTTTTGAGCGCTACACTATTTATATAACCATGAGACCCTGAGCTCTAATGGAGTATCTCGCAAAGGATGTCCCAAGCGTGAGCTTTGGGAGAAAACAGTTTCTTCTGTGGAAAGAAGCCTAGCTTAGGAAGTGTTTAGGATCAGACCCAAGTATTCCAGGAAAAGAGAAGGTTGGAGAGCAGATTTTTGGAGTTGATTACCCAACTGAAAGTCTGAAGCTTCTGAACTGTCCTGTGGACATTTGCAGATAGATGGAAGAGAGAGGCGTCCTTCAGAAGACGGTTGTTTTCTGAATAACCTGAGACCAGGATGCCCCATGTTTTCAGAAAGGCAAGAGCAGCAAGGACCTTTGTAAATACTCTTTGGGCACGGAATAGGCAAGATGGCACAGAACTAAGTGAAAAAATAGGAATATGCTGCTAGGCATCTTGGATGTCTATGGAATCCAAGTATTCTCACTGTCTCAGAGTGGCAATGGCTGACCTTGTGGACTCCACACAAAATTTTGGGATCTGAGGTATTTGTTTAGGGATTTTGGGTCCAGGACAGGATGACTACCCCTGTTGGGTTTTGCAACTGTGAACAGGTTTGACTAGAGTCCTTTGAACCTACTGACACAACTACACCCTGCAACAAGAGATGGTTTGGGACATTCTACTAATTTGACTGTCCTCTGGCAGATTTTAAAAAAGAATAGAGTTCAGAACTCTTCTTTTTGTCCCTTTGAAACCACGGATTGAATTCACAACTCTCCGATGTTTGTGACACAGAGAGAAGCAAAGCATAACAGACATATCCCTACTATTAGGAATAACAGTGCCCTTTTATTGGGAAGAAAACTTTGAAGAAAACTTGGTGGGCTTTGTGGGTCAAGTCTTACACTGAAAGGAAGGGCTGAACTTACGTGTTGAAGTTGAAGTCTGGGTAGAGTATTGAGGAGGAAGAAGTTCCTGAAGAATGGGATTATTTTTAACTTTCCACTGTGGAAGAAGAAAACTTTCCTTCTGTGACAATTTGATGAATTTGTTAGGCTCCATACACACTGGGCGTTTTAATAACGCTGGTAACATTAGCTGAAGCCATAATATCAAGTGTAGAGGAGCCTGGGGGTGAGAAATCTTTTGCGGCCTCCGGGTGTTTTTTCATTCCCTTTTCTGTCTGCCACTTCTAGGATTGGCATATCGGGATCTGATCAGGTAGAAACATTGAAGCTGGAATTTTTGGGCCCTGGACAGTGGTGTCTGTGTTAAAGTTGTTCATTGTCTGAGGAATCATGACATAGTTGCAGAAAAATCTGCCTTAGTCAGGTAGGCCTGCTTTTTGTGTTCCTGGGATAGAACTAGAGTCGAATACAGAGAACGGTGTTAAAATCAGGTTCTGCTCCAGTGCAAGGGAAGCATTGTCAATCTGGGATTGAGTGCTGTATGGGTCTTTGACAGAGCAAACATTTGCTTGGGTTTCTGCAATGGCTCCCTTTGTCCTGGTTTCTGCCACTGCTACGAGTGAGGGTATTCCCCTGTGGGGAAACGGTATGGGGTGTGGAACAAAGGGAAAAGCACACCCGAGAGAGTTCGAAGTAACCTAGGGACAGACCACAAAGTAGCAAAGTCCTCATGACAAAGGACAAGATGAAGCAACTCAATACCATATAAGGGGCTCTAGGTGGCGTTCGCAGTGAAGTGCGCAACCTGTGGTGTGATGTTACACCTGGTCGCCCACCTGAAACTAAGCGCTGATTGGCGGAGTTTTAGTGCCAAATTTGGACTGTAAGGTGATTACATTCCAAACAGTCCCAGTTATTACAGTAATGGTCAGAGATACAGGGCAACCCTGCTTAAAGTGTTACTAAACCCAAAACAGTAAAATCAGTCTGTATATGCAGTAATGCATGCTTGTTATACTCTATGATCCTCCCCTTCTTCCAGAGTCCCCCTCTTATCTCCTGATAAGACATATTGTGAGGAGTCACTCTGGGCATGCTCAGTTTGGTGTGTATTGGAAGAGAGGTTTTTGTTTTTTTTTTCTTGGGAAAGTGCATGTGATCACCACAGGGCCAATCAGCACTGTCCAGACAGAGGTCAGAAGTTCAGCATCCTCCTAGAGCAAAATGAAAACTCCTGCTACAAGCTTTAACATGTGCTCTGCTGGACACTAGTAAAAATCACAAGACTACTCTAATTGCTGATGAGAAAAGGTATTTAGCAGTTTATATTTACTAAATTAATTGTACTTCCACGTTTTGTGCACTGTGCGAGACCAGATATAGTGAATGCAGGGTCCTGGGTTTAGTAACACTTTAACTGTCCATGCTGCTGGCCCATATCTAGGGTCCAAGCTTCACCTTTTACAGTAGGCATACCCACAAAGAAGTCTTCAGGGTCTGAGTTTCACAGGGAAGAATGACAGCCCTGAACCTATATAGTACCCTGTGGCTAACTACATACATTGCACATTGTTCCAAGGTGAGCACCCATGCCAGATCCAGTGCCCAAAGCAACATTGCAGGCCATCCCCATGGTGTGGGTTCCAGGTATAGTTCCCAAATTTTTTTTACCAAGGTTTCACCAATCTGTATGCACTGCTTCTATATTTGTGTTAGAAGGCAGTGAAGTTGACTGAAGACTACAAAGAAAAAATAATAAAATAGTTAAGACAAGAGTGATTTCTCCATAAAGAGAAGTCCATCACTTTAAAACACTAGCAAAAGGACTCATGGAGCAGCATAGGGGATACCCAGGGGAAGTGTCTTTCAAAGCTTGCCAGTGTCCAATCACCAGCCTATAGCCCAGGGTATATGAGGAGTCAGCATGTGTCTCGTACTGTAATGAACAATTAAAGGATAAGTTTACCTATATAACCAAATACATGCACCAAGTGCCAAGGTGAAAGCCCCGCACAGGATCCAATGCCTGAAGCAACATTACAGGTCATCCCCACAGTGTGGGATCCTGGTACGATTTCCAAAATTTTTCTGAGGCCACAATAATCCGGAAACACTGCTTCTGTAGACAGTAAATAATTCTTTAGGAAAAATAATAGAAAATAACATAAAAGTGAAGCTGGTGAAGTGAAACTCCAGAGGGGAGAATATGTCCATCACCTACAAACACTAGCAAGAAACTGAGGATTCAAGTGGGGTATAGGGGAGGCGTGTCCTCAAAAGCTTGCCAGTATTGCCCTTGTAGGTATGAGCCTAAAACCCATGGTGTATAAATACGATGCCTGTGTCCTGTACTAAACAATTAAGATAGTAAATCTACAAATTTCAATATCAATTCAAATTATTGTGTGTAGGCAAGAAATAATTGAAATACAATGTGTAAAAGAATATATGGTTTTACAGGGACCATAGACATGCTTTAAGGAAAATGAACAAGTGAAAAGAGACAAAGCAGCAGATTTATCTACAAAATTTGGATCTATGTGTAAAAAAAAAAAAAAAAAAAAATACACTAACTTTTCTTCCTGTTGTCTCTGAATCCGTTCTTTCTCCTGGCGTTCTCGCTGCTCTCGAGCAAGACGCCGCTTTTCAGCCAGGATTTTGGCAGCTTCCTCAGCTGTATTACTCCCTGATGCAGTCTTATTACTGGATTCTAACAGAGATTAAACACAGGTAACCAGAATAAATAACTTATTAACATATGTACATGATGTAAACACAAATAGTATTCTTATTCACTAGCCACCCACTAACAGTACTGCTAGTGGGTGGCACATCCAGGCCGGGCGACGTACTGGTACGCACCAGCGCGCCCCCTGTCCATTGGGTACAGCGCTCGGTACCGACCGTTCATGTGAATGCTTTGAGCTGCACATCACTGCAAGACCCTGAACGTGGGTGTATGACAGCTTCAGCCTGTGCTCCAGCCAGGCCATGTGCATAGTTGAGTCGCTTCGCTTGTTTCCATGTCCTATGCATGAAAAACATAGAAACTGGGGTACACAAAATGGCAGCAGGTACCCTGGACTGAGGAATCAAAATTTTAAATATTTGTCTGTAGCAAAAGGCAGTTGTTCAAGAAGGGCTGTAGATAGGTACAATAAAGAGTGTCTGCAGGCAACAGTGATGCATAGTGCAGGTTCCTTGCAAGTTTCGGATTGTATTTCTGCAAATGGAGTTGGAGATTTGGTCAGGATCAATGGTGTACTCAATGCTGAGAGATACAGACATATTTAATCATCATGCCATACTATCAGGAAGGCATGTGACTGGCCCCAAATTTATTCTGCAGCAGGCCAACGACCCCAAACATACATGTCATTAAGAACTATCTTCAGTGTAAAGAACAACAAGGAGTCCTCGAAGTGATGGTGGTTTGGCTCCCACAGAGCCCTGATCTTGTTATTAAACCCACAACAGTAAATTCAGTCTGTGTATACAGTAAAGCATGCTTGTTATACTCAATGTGGAACCTAAGGTCTTAATCCTCTGCATTGTGTGAAATGTTTTATCCTATCTTCTCTGATCCTCCCCTTCTTCCACAGTCCCCAATCCATCTACTGATAGAACAGAGCCTTGGGGGCAAGCTGCACATACTCAGTTTGGTGTGTACTCCTAAGTTTTTTTTTTTCTTGGAAAGTGCATGCGACCAGCGCAAGGCCAATCAGCACTGCCCAGACAGAGGATGAGAAAAGGTATTTAGCAGTTTTATATTGACTAAAGTAATTGAATTTCCATGTTGTGTGTACTGTGGGAGACCAGATATAGTGAATGCAGGGTCCTGGGTTTAGTAACACTAAGTCTGTCTGGGATAACATGAAGAGACAGAAGGGTTTGAAGCAGCCTACATCTACAAAAGATGGTTAGTTAGTTCTGTGGTTAGTTCTCCAAGATGTCTGGAACAACCTACCCACCAAGTTCCTACAAAAACTGCATGCAAGTGTTCCTAGAAGAATTGAAGGCTAAGGGTGGCCACACCAAATACGGATTTGATTTGGATTTTTCTTCTGTTCGTTTACTTTCCATATTGTAATTTAATAAAATTAAACTATTAACACTTCTATTTCTGAAAGCAGGGTGCAGGAAGATGTCTGGTTATGACAAAACGTGTCAAGTGGAGCCGCCCTTTTGACGTCATCACATAAGAATTTGCCATTTATGCTGTTCCTTGCTGTTTGATGGTTTTAATGAACACTGGAAAATTTATGTTTGTAAGTGCGTTTCTCTTTTTCTTATAAAATGATATACAAACTATCTGCACTATGAGAAGCACTTCTTTTATTGTTATATGAATACATGCTAACTTCGTGAGATCGGGATGGTCTGTAGAGCTTTTGATGATACATGTGGTCAGGCTTGAGATACAGGAGTCTGGATCAGATGTTTTATAACAAAGCATATGTTGACCCCCTGTATCCAAGGGGTCAAAGGATCTGGTAAGCCTCCAACTTGTCGTCACGGTTGTGCAGCATTCACGTTGGTGGTTATGTAAGTTGGAACGAAGATTTGGATAATTTACCATAAAAGGGCACTGTTGTAAATATACCCCCATAGGGACGGTCACATATATGTTAATTATTTTGCACTTTAACTTTTGGTATTGGTTTACCCTGGAGCACTTTATTCACTGTTTACATTTGTACATTTACACACCATTTTTTGTGTATATCACTTTATTGCATTTTAGCGCAACACCAGATATTTATTTATAAATTTGATATTAAGAGAGGATATCCTCAGTGTGTTTGGATCTTTGGTCAGATTCAGGTCTAAGCTCTGGCTGGGCCACTCCAAAACTTCCTGGTGAAGCCATTCCTTTGCTGATTTGGATGTATGCTTTGGGTCATTGTCATGCTGAAAGATGAAGTTCCGCTGCATGTTCAGCTTTCTAGCAGAAGCCTGAAGATTTTTTGTGCCAATATTGACTGGTATTTGGAACTGTTCATAATTCCCTCTACCCAGTTCCAGCTGAAGAAAACGGCCCCAAAGCATGATGCTGCCACCACCATGCTTCATTGTGGGTATGGTGTTCTTTTGGTGATGTGCAGTGTTGTTTTTGCGTCAAACACATCTTTTGGAATTATGGCCAATAAGTTCAACCTTGGTTTCATCAGACCATAACACAAAATTTAGCCAGGCTTGGATGTTTTTCTTCGTAAGAAAAGGCTTCCATCTTATTCTCTACCCCACTCCAGACTTATGAAGAATACAGGAGATTATTATCACATGTACCACACAGCCAGTACTTGCCAGATATTCCTGCAGCTCTTTTAATGTTGTTGTAGGCCTCTTAGCAGCCTCCCAGACCAGTTTTATTCTCGTCCTTTCATCAATTTTGGAGGGATGTCCAGTTCTTGGTAATGTCACTGTTGCGCCATATTTTCTCCACTTGAGGACTGTCTTCAGTGTTCCATGGTAAAGCTAATACCTTTTAACAATGAGATCCCTCTGATGCTTTGGAAGCTCTCTGCGGACCATGGCTTTTGCTGTAGGATGCGACTAAGAAAATGTCAGGAAAGACCTACTAAAACAGCTGATCTTTATTTGGGGTTAATCAGAGGTACTTCAAAACGATGGCAGATGTGTACTGACTCCTATTTAACATGATTTTGAATGTGACTGCTTAATTCTGAACACAGCTACATCCCCAGTTATAAGAGGGTGTGCACACTTATGCAACCACATTATTTAAGTTGTCTATGTTTATTTCCCCCCTAAAAGATTTCAATTTGTTTTTCAATCGAGTTGTACAGTTTATAGGTCACATTAAAAGGTGGAAAATGTTCGATAGGATTGATCTTTGTCTCATTTTTTTAACATCACAGAACAGACATTTTAACAGGGGTGTGTAGACTTTTCATATCCACTGTAGGTTGAAACAGTCATTAACTGAAAAAGGTTGAGTATGAGGTTTAAAACTGGGTGAGGAATAGCCTAACTCTGTTAATAAGGTGAGGCTGTGGAAGACCGTTTCATGCCACAGGTCATACACCATGGCAAGACTGAGCACAGCAACAAGACACAAGGTAGCTATATTGCATTAGCAAGGTCTCTCCCAGGCAAAGATTTTAAAGCAGATATGGGGTTCAAAATGTGCTGTTCAAAGTTCAGAAGTTCAGGACCACAGAAGCAGTGGTCAGCCTAAAAAACTTAATACAGCAGATGAAATACACATCATGCTTACTTCCCTTCAACATCAGATGTCCAGCAGTGCCATGAGCACAGAACTGGAGCAAACCAGTGGGCCCAGGTACACCCATCTACTGTCTAGAAAAGTCTGGCTAGAAGTGGTCTTCATGGATGAATTGTGCCCAAAAACCCACAAAAGGAAACAAGGCTAAGCAATTCCACTATGCACAAAAACATGGGAACTGGGGTGCAGAAAGAGCAGCAGGTGCTCTGGAATGATGAGTCAAAATATGAAATATTTGGCTGTAGCAGGATGCAATTTGTTCATCAAAGGACTGAAGAGTAGTACAACAGCAGAAGCAGTCTCCAGGAAACAGTAAAGCATGGCGAAGGATCCTTGCAAGTTTTGGGGCTGCACTGGATCAATGGTGTCCTTAATGCTGAGGAATAAATGCAGATACTTATACATCAGGCCATACCATCAGGGAGGCGTGTCACTGACCCCAAATTTAATCTGAAGCAGGACAATGACCCCAAATTTAATCTGCAGCAGGACAATGACCCCAAACATACAGACAATGTCATTAGGAACTATCTTCAGCGTAAAAAGAACAAGGAGTTCTGAAAGTGATGGTTTGTCCCCCACAAAGCCCTGATCTATACATCATCAAGTTTGTCTGGAATTACATGAAGAGACAGAAGGATCTGAGACAGTGTACATCGTGGCTAGTTCTCCAACATATCTGGAACAAGCAGGGGCGGACTGACAACTCATGGGGCCCCCGGGCAACAGGGGATCATGGGGCCCCTGAGTCCTTGCCCAAACTAAAAAAAATCCTAAGAAAAAGGTACCAGGGGCATCTCATGAGGCCCCCTACTGACCCCGAGCAGTGCCCGAGTTTCCAAATGGTCAGTCCGCCCCTGGGAACAACCTACCTGCCGAGTTCCTTCAAAAACTGTGTGCCTCTAGAAAAATGTATGCCGTTTTGAAAGCAAAGGGTGGTACATCAAATATTGATTTGATTTGGACTTCTCTTCTGTGCATTTACTTTCGTTTACTTTGTTAATTGGTAAAAAAAAATAAACTATTAACACTTCTGTTCCTGAAAGCATTAATTACAGCGTTTTTTTTTCACACAACTGTCTCACACTTTTGCATAGTTATATATTTAAATATTTACACACACACACTATGAGAATAAAAACACAAAATTAATAAAGACACCACTGACAGATTATATCCATTCCATTACAGCTCTAGGATTCACAAACTGCTAAAAGGCACATAACATATCAACAGACACACACACACGACATTAAAAAATTACCATCTTTGGTCTTTGTAACAGGTGTCTCCTTCTCTGAGGCCTGTACACTTTTTGGCTCTAAGCTGATTCCTTCTACAGATTTCTCCTTTGGTTTGGTTTCTGAATCAGCAATCTTTTTGGTAGCATTTAAGACAGTTGGTGTGAGTGAGGGACGCTGGATGGGAACTGGCTTGTGAACCACTGTGGGAGAAGGAGGTCTCTGCTTCAATAAACTTGGCGATGAAGGACGGTTCTTTTGTGTCTGTGAACTACTGGTCTTTCTGAAATGTTAACACATAAATGAACACATAAGTGATTGAAGGTTGGCAATAAACTTCATACTGAAAGGAACACTGGATGAGGACCAACAGTTAACTTTACTAACCAACAACTGTGAAGCAGATCATTCACATAGTGGTTTGCATTGGATGATTGTAGATCTGAAACAGAGGGTGGCAAGACTGGTAATTGTTGCTGTTTAACAAGTAACATTTCGGGGGCAGAAATGTGCTTTCTTCTGTAAAACTGCTAGTCACTGTAGCCACGAGGAGTGTGAAGAAGTGACGGTTATTGTCTAATACAACAGACTGATACAGTAGCTTTTGGTTTATAGCAGCTGAATAACACTGTGTGAAAATGTTCTTGTGTTTTATGAGAAGGCTATCCTCTTGCACACCTGAAACTTTATTCATTATTAAGAAACAGTAAAGGAAATAAGTATTTGATCCCCTGCTGATTTTGAATGTTTGCCCACTCACAAAGAAATGATCAGTCTAAAAATTGAATGGTAAGTGTAGTGTAACACAGAGACTAAATAGCAACAAAAAAATCAAAAGAAATGCACGTCTAACAAATGATGCACTGATTTGCATGTTCATGAGTGAAATAAGTATTTGATCCTCTATCATTCAGCAGGATTTCTGGCTACCTGGTGTCTTTCATACAGGTAACAAGCTGAGATTAGAAGCAGTCTCTTAAAGGGAGTGCTGCTAATCTCATTTTGTTACCTGTATAAAAGACACCTGTCCACAGGAGCAATCAAACAATCAGATTCCAAATTCTCCACCATGGCAAAGACCAAAGAGCTGTCCAAGGATGTCAGGGACAAGATTGCAGACCTACACAAGGCTGTACTGGGCTACCAAACTATCGCCAAGCAGCTTGGTGAGAAGGTGACAACAGTTGGTCCAATCATTTGCAAATGGAAGAAACACAAAACAACTGTCAGTCTCCCTAGGTCTGGTGCACCATGCAAGATCTCACCTCGTGGAGTGTCAATGAACATGAGAACAGTGAGGAATCATCCCATAACTACACGTGAGGATCTTGTCAATGATCTCCAGGCAGCTGGGATCACAGTCACCAAGAAAACAATTGGTAACACACTACGCCAACAAGGATTGAAATCCTGCAGTGCCTGCAAGGTCCCTCTGCTCAAGAAAGCACATGTCCAGGCCCGTCTGAAGTTTGCCACTGAACATCTGAATGATACAGAGGAGGACTAGTTGAAAGTGTTGTGGTCAGATGAGACCAAAATCGAGCTCTTTGGCATCAACTCAACTTGCCGTGTTTGGAGGAGGAATGCTGCCTATGACCTCAAAAACACAATCCCAACTGTCAAACATGGTGGTGGAAACATTCTGCTTTGGCAGTGTTTTTCTGCTAAGGGGACAGGTAACTGCAAGGCATCAAAGGGACAATGGATGGGGCAATGTACCGTCAAATCTTGGGTGAGAAACTTCTTTCCTCACCCAGGGCATTGAAAATGGGTCGTGAATGGGTGTTCCAGCATGACAATGACCCAAAACACATGGCCAAGGCAACAAAGGAGTGGCTCAAGAAGAAGCACAATAAGGTCCAGGAGTGGCCTAGCCAGTCTCCAGACCTTAATCCGATTGAAAATCTGTGGTGGGAGCTGAAAGTTCGAGTTGCCAAACGTCAGCCACCAAACCTTAATGACTTAGGATGAGAGGATCTGCCAAGAGGAGTGGGCCAAAATTCCTCCTGAGATGTGTGCAAACCTGGTGGCCAACTACAGGAAACATCTGACCTCTGATTGCCAACAAGGGATTTGCCACCCAGTACCAAGTCATGTTTTGTGAAGGGGATCAAATACTTATTTCCCTTATGAACATGCAAATCAGTGCATCATTTGTTAGACATGCATTTCTTTAGAATTTTTTGTTGCTATTCTGTCTCTCAGTGTTACAATACACCTACCATTCGATTTTTAGACTGATCATTTCTTTGTGAGTGGGCAAACATTCAAAATCAGCAGGGGATCAAATACTTATTTCCTTCACTGTAACTATAGCTGTATAATTGTATTAATATTCAGTATGTACATTTTATTTCATATAAAAACCCAAATTATCCAACAGAGGCAACCACTTTCAGAGCTGAGACAAATGAACACTGTCAGGGGAGCAGTTTTCATTATCTCCCCTTAAGATTTGAAACGGAACTGAAGTTCTGCTATAAGAAACAGTGGGCAGGCACACTTATATTACAGAAGAGTCTTGATGTCTCTTCTGCAATAAAATGCTAGCACCTGCTGCTGACTGTCTATTTCAGCTCTCTAAACTAAGCTATGCATTCGGAGCTAAGTTCACAGTGCCAAGATGATGGTCTCCTGCCCATGAGCAGGATTGATGTCATCATCCGCCAGCCAACAAAGAGGCCTAAAGATTGGTACTGGTGCAGAACCATGGGACAGGGGAGTATTAAGCCACTTTAACCGCTTTAAAAGCATACAGATTAATGCATGGGTGGTGTTATAGTTTATCCGATCCCATTACTGAGATCTTTCATGGACAGTTTAGTCTGCATGTAAATGTGGAGAAAAATATTGACTTGTGAAAGAAAATGACTATATTGATATAAGGTATAAATGTATAAAACAATATAATATTAACCACATATATTCAACAGAATAAAAGGAATTTTGACTTGCCTGTAAATTCCATATCTGGATATTCATAGACCTCGAGTTATAGGCCATTACGTTCAAGTGATGGGACACCGGCAAAGCTTTGGACGATATGCCCTCTAGGAATCCCCCATGATCCTACCCCACTCTGAGTCCAGTACTTCAAGATATGGAATTTACAAGAAAACCAAAGTTCCTTTTATCTTAACTGTACAGTACAGGACACAGGCTGAATATTCAATGACCCTAGGACCTCCCCAAGCAATGAATGAAGAGATGGCATTAACTAGCCAAACTTATCTGTGCCAACTGACGCAATTCCAGACTGCCACTGCAGGACTGCAGCCAAAAGCAGCATCAGCAGTAGACTGGATTCCCACCTTGTAGAAGCTGGAAAAATTATGAACAGAAGACCAGGTGCAGCCATAAAAAGCAGGGCAACAAAGGTTTGATGTTGAAATGCCCAGAAAACTCCCACTGATCTGGTGGAGCGAGCATATAATAGCGCAGGAGGAGCTTTGTCCTTTAGAATTCAAGCTCTCGCTGTCTTATCCATATAGCAAAGGTGGATCTTGATACAGCATGTCCTTTGTGAGGTCCTCAGGGCAAGACAAATACGGAGTCAGTCTTCCTGATAGAAGCTATAGCTTTGAGAAAGACTTTGATGACTCTGAATACCAGGGGTCATCTCCTAGAATTTGTCTGTCTACCATGTCCTTCTGGGCCAGTTTGTTGCAATACAAACAACCGGTTTCTTCTCTACCTTAGTTTTCAGAATAGGCAAGTCAGAATTTGCAGTGGAAAAATAGTACGGATTAACCTAAACTGAGTCCAAGGAATTATTTCAGAGCAATAGATGCCATTGCTTTGGGATCTTTGGTCCAGCCAGGCCACAAACAGAGGCAACTTGTTGAATCTGGAGGGCAGGCTGTCAGTTTCAGGGTCCCCCTTAAATATCAGGTTCAAGATATTTTGGTTAAGGGCCCATTCCTCTTGGTCCAGATAGTGATGGCTGAGGTTATTCGCCTTCCAACTGTCCACTCATGGGGTGTGAGGACAGCAGAGATCGCTGGACAGTGTTTCTCCATTTATTAGAATACCTCCCTTGTTTCCATCAGTGCTGCCTGACTTCTGGTGCTGCCATGATGTAGGCCCCCGCTGCAGAAGTGTGTAACTGCAGCCTGACTGTGTGTCCCTGAACAAGAGGGGTCCAGTGTTGCAGAGCCATCCTTCTTGTTTTGGGTTCCAAGATGTTGATGGGTAAACATGTTTCTTGAACTGTAAAGGACTGAAACACCACTTCTCAGCCTTAAAGACTGGTGTGTGTGTTGTTCTCACCTTCAAGCAATACGGCAGAAATTCCCGATTGTCAGGGCTGGGATCGAGATCCACCAAGCTAGGGAATTCCTTGCTTGGCTGGATAGGAGCCTGGGTAAGTAGAGAGAAAGAGCATACTTGTTCTATGCCAACAAGATGTGTTGAGTGGTCTGAAATGAAAGTGGGTGAATGGGACAGTCTTGAAAGAGACCACCATGAGGCCCAGAACTCATGGAGATCTCAAATCCTGTGCATGAGCTATGAGAGCAAGCAGTTTGGTTCAGGAAGGAGGAAATATTTTGGCTTTCCCTGTGTCTGGAATTAAGCCCAAGTATTCCAGCCGCACAGAAAGTTTGAGAGCCTGAAGCATCTGAATTGTCCAGTGAACTTTTGCAGATAGAGCAAAGGGAGTTGAATCCTTCAGAAGACGTTTGTCTAGATAAGAGGTGGTGCTAGGACCTTTACAAATACTCTGTGAGCAGAGGACCGGATAAATAGCAGTGCAGAAACTGAAAGTGATGGTTTCCTAATGCAAAGTGTAGAAAGTGCTAATGAGGTGGATAAATGGGAATATGCAGACAGGCATCTTGGAGGTCTAAGGATACCAAGTATTCCCCTTCTGTTACAGAGGCAATAACTGATCATGCGGATTTCATGCAAAATTATTGGATTCTTAAGGTATTTTTAGAGGGACTCTAGGTCCAGGACAGAAATCCCTGCTGGGTTTTGGTACTGTGAAAAGGGTTTGTATAGAACCCTTTGAACCTGTCCTCTAGAGGTACTAGCACAACAACTCCATGAGATGGTTAAGGGCATTCTGCAAATCCGACTGTCCTTGGACAGATTTTGGCTAGTTTGAAAGAAGAAAGCGATAGTTGGAACTTTTTTATCCTCTTGACCCGCAGGTCTGGAAAGTCTGTGGCACAGAGTGGAAAACTGTAATAGAAGCCCCCCTACTCTCTAGGAGTGAGGGCGTCCCTTTATTGCAAAAAGGGATTTTGGGTAAGACTTGGCGGGCCAAGTCTTATACCAAAA